AACAACTTAAAAGAGGAAGGGTTTGCTTTGGCTAATGCTAAAGTTCATAGTCCTTGACTCTGTTGATTCTCTGTCCAAGGCAAAGGCAAAGGTCATGGATGTAGCAGAGAGAAAACAGAGAGAGAAGAAAGGATCAGGGATGAAGTACAACTATCGAAGGTACGCTCCCTTGTGACTTACTTCCTCTAGTGCTACCTCCTAAGGTATCTATTCTCTCTCAATATGATACTAGCTAGGAAACAGTTCAACACCTGAACCTGGGAGTACATTCAAACCATAATATTAATTAATAGCAACGATGTTCTACACAGTTTCCATAAATCAGGCATTGTATGGAAACAGTTTTCTTTAACGCTCCTTCAGATGAGTCTTATGAGTGAGGTATCATCATTATTATCCCCACTTTTCAGATGAAGAGGCTAAAGCTCAGAAACAGATTCCATCACTTTGGTGTAGGATGGCTGGCCCCAGTCCAAACCCCATATGATTTCCCTCCTACTACTCTGCCTTTCACTGGCCTACCGATTATAATAGTTGGTGATTCTGAGTAAGGCACAGTTAAAGATTCTGTTATTTCACAGACCATTTAAGAAAGGGATTTATTGGAGTCTTCTTGTATATAAAAGGGAAAGGATAAAAGAGATTTGGTTGAGTTATGAGACTGAGGATTTATCTTTTTTCTTAACATGCCCAGGTTAGAAACATTAAGAGAAGGGGCAAAATATGCAAAAGGTAACTTTCTTGCAGATTGCCAAATAAATTTTCAAGGTTGCCAAATCAATTTTCAAGGAAATCTGCAAAAACTTTTATTTAGGGGGAATAGGAGTTAGCTTTAAAAAAAAATAAAACAAGAGTTTCAGAAGAGAAACTGAAATTCTTTTAAAAACCCAGTGCCATCAGCTGTGGTTGCCTACACAAGATCTACACAAGATTAAGCCAATCAACATTCCAGCATGGATGGGGAAGGGGCTTCTGAACCCCCACCCCTAACTGAGGTGGTAGTTATTGGCAGTTTATGACTGAAAATAAAAGTCACTTTTAATTTTATTTATTATTTTTACTTTATGTGTATGTGTGTATTGCCTGCATGTATGTGAGTGCACCCGTGTCATGCAATGCTGCAGAAGTCAAAGAGGGCTTTGGATTCCCCTGGAACTAGAGTTAAGGACAGTTCGTAACTGCCATGTGGGTGCTGGGAATCGAGCCCGGGTCCTCTGTAAGAGTAGTTAGTGCTCTTAACCACTAAGCCATCTCTCCAGCTACAAAAGTCACTTTTCTTGGTGTCATCCCTCGTGGGTATACCAAGCTCCAGTGGATGGCCCATACCCATGAGCATAGGGCCAACACAACTTGGACTCATTGGATTGTTTAAAAAAGAGGACACAAATTGGGAAGAGGATTAGGGGATGAATCTAATAAAAATACCCTGTATGCAGGTATGAAATTCTCAAATAATTAATAAAAATATTTTACAGAAAATGTCTGGTGCTTTATAGATTAACTGGGGAAGACTTGACTCAGTCTGTGAATCAAGGACATTAGAATTCTTGTTCTAGGGCATCAGATGGCTTTCCAATGGCTTGAGTCTTTCAATGAGTCTAACAATTGATGAAATATACTGGAACAAAAAGAAAATGGTTATTTAAAAAATAAAACATTTCTCAAAATAAAATTTGATCTAACTGCTATGTCTTTTACTATTTTTATTTTTTATTTGGTAGAAGGGATCAAACCCAGATTTCATAAGTATTAGGCCAGGGCAGCATCACTGAACGGGACCTGAAGCCCTATCTCTGACCACTTTTGAAAAGAGTAGCTTCAGTTATTATTTTGTTCCCAGTGAGATCAACTTCCTGGGTTTCTGATTTCATGAGAGTTGCCTCAGACACACCAGTAAAGAAAGTGTTTGGCCTGGTTATTAGATTTGCACAAAATAAAGTTTGTTAATGGCAAAATCCAGCATAACTTGTATGTTCAAATATTATTACAAAGTCCTGCTGCTTGTATTTGGGCCACAGGAGGAAATTATTATTCTATTAGTCCATGCAGTAAGTTTAAAAATGCAAAGACTTGTTACATAGTCAATGAAGAACAGTTGTTTTCTGTCCTTCCATAAATAATGCCAAGAGTGGCCTGGCTATCTATTTCAGTTTCTTGTTACACATGAGCAAACCCAGCAAGGTCAAAATATCAGTGTCTGCTAACAGAGCAGTCTTGTTATAGTCTATTTAGCTTTGAGAGGCTTTGCTTTCCTGTTTCCAGTGGGTTTTTTTAATTTTAAATTAATTTTTAAAGTTAGCATACAAACTAATGGGTTTCATTATGTCATTTTCATCTATACTTTGTTCTTATTTGTCCCCTATCCCACTGTCCTCCCACTCCCTCTTCCCCCAGTAGTCCCTCTTCTGCTTTTATATAACACGTATTTCATTTTTTAGGTCGTATTTTGAATCTAACAATTGAAACATCCTGTTTCCTAACTCTTCCTTTTATATAGATTCTGTTTCTAATTTAATTGGTACTTCTGGGTGGAATGTTACTGAGTGAACCTTAAGTCATGGCAAGCCCCCTGGTGTGGCTCTGTTACTAGTTAGTTGTGTGACCAGGACAAGTCATTTCATTTGCATTTGTTTCTTCATCTTTCAAAGCAGGGTAATAATCTTCCATCTTCCTAACTCATAAACAATGGTGCAAATGTTCTCTCTAAAATGTCAGACAGCTGCTTGGGGGGGGGTGTTCCTGGGTCATAGTTCTTGGAGGTCTTTTCTTTCTTTTTTCCTTTCCTTCCCTGCTTCTCCCTTCCCCTCTTTCTGCTTTCCCCCTTACTCCCATCCCCCCTTTTCCCCTTTCTCCCTTCCCCCTCCCCCTCCCTCTGCCCTTTCTCCCTTCCCCATCCCCCGTTTCCCTTTTCCCTTTTCTGCCTTCCCCCTTCCTTGCCTCTCTCCCCCTCTCCTTCCATCTTTCTTTTCTTCCTCCCTTTTCCTGTTTATTTATTGCGTTTGAGAGAGTATTTCATCATGTACTCCAGGCTGTTCTGCCTCAGGTCTCCAGAGTACATGAGATCAGAGGCCTGTGCTAGCACTCTCAGCTCTTGGAGGGTTTCTGATGCAAGAAATTAACAAGTGCTTGGTTTGGGCATGAAAAAAAAATAGGAAAAGGAGTTCTGGAAGTGATGTGGAAATATTTGTTCTAGCTTTTATATGTGGAATTTTTCTTTCCTTTTCATTCTGGCTGTGGTTAAATATGGAAGAAAATGTAGTAGGTGACAAATACGGCCAAAACTTTGGGCACTAACAAATAGTTTAAATGGTAGTTTAATGATCTTGAAATATATATACATCTATACATATATTTATACATATATTTATATCATGTGCATATGCATATAAAGAAAGTCTGCTAGCTTGTGTCCTTTATACCTTGTAAATTTGGAAGAACCTCCATAAACTCAGGATTACTGAGTTCAGGGAACTTAATTAAAAATGTCTAGGTTGTAATTGATGATAAAAGAAACTGGAAAAAGTACTTGTTAATTACAACTTCATTTTTTTGCTTGGTCTAACAGGTTGATTTATGTGAAAAACAGGGTCCCTATGATATCTGTGTTTTAATTCCATAGCTAAACTATGTTTGTTGAGGGCATGGATGCATGTTCCTCCAATTTTTTTTTGCACTATCATGAATGATAGTTCTCTGTACACCCTAGGTTCCCAGTGGAACATACAGCTAGCTAATGGTTATTTCTGGTCTTACAGCATGATCACATTAAAATAAAGATGACAGTTAAAGTTTTTGTTTGGAGCCCTGAAGTTTCCAAGTCAATCTTAAGAGAAAGTACATGAGCACCTCAGCAATGTTTATATGTTCATTATATACAAGCCGGTGAATCTGTTGTAAATAAAATGAGTAATATGCCTTCAGGAATATGGGAGATACGAAAAGGTTGTAATTCTATGCTTTCAGCCAATCACACATATAGTGTCATCTGTGGTGCTTATTAAAAATTGAAAAATTTCACCCCACATCTGGATCAAGGTATGTGTGGATAACATGGTACACACGTTTAAACAAGCACTCCAGGTAGTTTGATATGCACCAAAGCCCAAGAACCACTACAACCTGCAATCTGAGATGCTAAGTAATAAATATGTAAGTATAGAGTCATTCTATGAGAAAATGAAAAATAGCGAGTAAAATGCCCATAACAAGCAGGAAAAGGAAGCCAGTACCCGTTTTGCAGCACAGAACTGGAAGAATAATTGACATTTATTTCCTTTGGCAATATATTTATTCTTGGCAGTTTGTCGTGGCTCAGTCACAATTGCAGCATGTCTTTCTTGAAGTCGTGAGATAGCCACAGGAATTTTAATTGTAAGAATAAATTTTTAAACCTCTTGGGAAAAGTCTTTGCCAAGGACTGGCTTAGAAGCAATAAGATATCACAGTGCTACTCTGGCTTTTCCTTATCACTTGTGAGCTGTTTTGCTTTGACACCAAAATGTGCAAATCCTGCTTCCTTGAGACCTTTCAGGAGCCATAGGGAGCAGGGATCTCAACACAGCTAGAGGGCAAGATAAAAAAGATGCGCGGCACCAGCTCAGGCTTCCAGGAGCAGGATGGCAGGCAGTACAAAGATGACTATCTTTAAAGGGCAGCTAAAGATGACCTGGGGAACTTTCATCCTGGGTGGAGCCCTGAGAAGCCAGAGCAGCCCTGGGCCTCTTCTGCTCTCCTCGATGCAGGCCCTGCCCTCCCTGGCAGGGTACTACGGGGCGGTCCGGGTCGGCCCCGTTAGCTTCCAGCGTGCCCCTTAGCAGCTTCTAGGCCATAGTCGGGGACCGGGTGGAACTCCGCCTCTTCGGTGACGTCCTGCGCGACCGGAGGCGGGCGCGTGGGTGGGCCGAGCCTGCGGCCTCCTGCGATTCGGCGGGCTCAGCCACACCACCGCGCGCCCCCGCTCCGCCCGCCCCTCCGGGCGCGTCTTTTCCGGGCTCGCCGCGCCCCGCCTCTGCCAGCCGTCCGGGTTGCGCGCGCGCGCGCCGCTGCGGCTTTTTTTTCCCCCCCTCCGGCCTCCGCGGCGCGCCCCTCCTTGCCATCCTGCTCCGGCGCTAGCGGCCACGCGGGATCCTCTCCGTGAGCTTGCTTCCTCAAGGGCCGGACGCCGGGACGGGCAGCGGACACGCAGTGCGCCAGGCAGCGCCTTCGGTGAGTGATCCCGGCTCGGGAGGCTGTCCCTGCGGCGCCCCGGTCCTAGCGGAACCCGGGTCCCCCGAGCCTCACCCGCACCGGCGGGAGATCGGGTGGGCGCTCTGCTTCCCGGCCGCGGGCGCGGGCTGCTGGATCTCCACCGAGCCCCGGGGGATCTCTCGTTGCCACTATCTTCTCCCTTGATGCGCTCCGGGACTCTCGAGAACCCCGCCTGAACTCTTCCCAGTCCCTCACTGTATCAGGAAGGCCACGAGTCCTCTTCTTTGTGGGGTACCCGGCTTTGCCACGACTCCTTTTAGAAGAGCACATCAGGTGCCTGCTAGACCTCCAAACGACCTTTAGGGCTCTCCTAGACCTCAGCTCCATTTTGTCCCCTCCCAATCACTCTATAACTGAGGGTCCGGGAGGTCTCTGGCTCCCAAGCGTCTGCCACCTCAAATGTGAAGGGTGCCTTAGCCTCGGATAGAAATCCTCTCATCATCCCATGCATACGCTTTTAGCATCAGCAACCTTTGGGTATGTTAGCAAACAGCTGGATTCTAGTTGAAGCATACACCCTCTGTTCTTTCCATCTTCATCCCTGCCCTTCTTTAGTGGGTGCTTTGTGTTTAGAATTAGCTTTATTCACTTCACTTCCCCTTCCTCTCATTTCGAGTGTCCACAAGAACTGTGGCTGAGGTCTATAGACAGAAAAATCTAGGAGAATATGATTCATTGCCTAACCGGTTACATATTTGAAATAAGACGTCATTTCTCATTTTTACTCTAGTATCTCCTTCGAAGACGTTTTTTTCACCCACTTGAAATTTATTTGTTCCACACATTTCATCTTAAAAGTCAATCCTCACACTGAGAAAAGATGGTAAGAGTCACAATAAGGGGAAATGAATCTTGTTGAAGAAGTAAGCAGTTGGCTTTATTGGTTAATGTTTGAATCAACTACTGAGTTTCCTCTTCTGTAAAAAATGTGCCCAGCTGTCATGCAGTTGGATTCAAGCAGCACCAAGGTTCCTTTTTAGCGTTTTGTTTCTTGTACCTCTAAAGTTATGCTTCTTTAACATGTTGCTACATCAGGAGAAGCCCAGTTCCTATTGTTACTTGTAGCTTTAGTTTTTCTTTTTTTCCCTCTAACACAATATGTAAAGCAGCAAGTGGAGATTCAATTACAGTGCTGCTACTGAGCATAGCAAGCAAAAATTTAAGTTTAAAGCCTCTTCATTAAATTGCAAGCTAGCTTAGCTTTTCAGTTGAATCTGCCAAAATGCAAAACATGTAGGACTCCTGATCAAATTAACACTCTCTCTGCCATTGAGATGCAAGGTCTAACATTTTACTGTCTAGATGCTTGCACATTGGAGTAAACGACCTTATTTTCCTGATAGGAGAAGTAATTTGACATTCAAAAAATCTATGATAGATGTAATGTAGCAATTTAAAATTTGGAGTAATTTCAGTTTCATGGATTCTTTTAAAAATTATTAAAAATAATTCAGATTAATATTTTTGTGATGGGATTTTTGGTAGATATGTGATGGTTGGACAAAGAGTCTTGCCCAGTCCAGGTGAGGGACATGAATTGGGGCTCTGGACACACTCAGATTCCTGTCTCAGTTCCATCTAGATGTATGAACCTTGAACAAGTCAGTGTACCTCTTCATTGTCACATAAATAATTGAAATGTCTTTATGATTGACAGAATGATCCATAAATTCCCTAATTTGAATACTGTATTCTGAAAATGAAGAGATTTTATGGATATATAGGTACTGAATGCACTTCACTTCACATTAAGACTGTCCTGAATCCTGTTGTATCAGTTTGGAGTGTTTTCTGAAATGTCTACATGTACTAGCTTCAATCAAGATATGCTTAGTTCTTAATTCATTCTGACATTTACGACATGTGGAAGTGTATAAATTCAGAAGCATTTTTACAAACATTGGGTATTATGTGTTAACTTCCACATGCAAATAAAATGTGTGTATGTCATAATGAATTTTATGAATTTTAAGTACTCATGGCCGTTAGAAACTTGTAAAGGGAGGGGAACATACTGCCTTGGAATTGTAATTGCTTAGTAACTTTAAAAGCATATATAGACATTTCATTCATTATATTCATTAATTCCTTTAAATCTCTTCTTAATCTGTCACATGTTTTGTGCCAGACCTTCAGGATATGATAGTTAAGAGAAACACCCCTACTCTATGACTTTATAGTCTGGAACAGTTTATATGTAGTTCATTTTTATTAAAAATACAAAAAGACATGTGTATAACCAAAATCCTGGGGAAGTTAAGGCTCCAAAAGGGAGGGGGAGATGATTATATTATATTGTAGGCTGTTGTTCACTCTTCAGCATTACATTTTTCCTCCCTTGACTTTCAGTTATAGAAACCTTAGCAATAGCATGACGTTTCTATTTCTACCAATGCTACTGGGTGATCCTATATATTATATATTTTTTCTTTTGACTATGAATTCTGGTATACTTGTAGGTTGTCATATAGTTATAAGAAATAACACCGTTTATCTGATTCCCTTCAATGCTAATATCATAAATAATTACTGTATAACATCACAACTAAGAAATAGCAATAGATAACAATCAATCCACTGTTTTCAGATTTTTCCAGCTTTATTTTATTTTTTAATATTTATTTTTATTTCTCTCTCCGTGTGTTTGTGTCTGTGTGTTTGTGTGTATGTATGTGTGTGTAATGCCATATGTATGTGGATTCCTATAGAGAACAGAGAAGGGCATTTAATCTGAAGTTGATGTTACAGGCATTTGTGAGCTGAATGATGTGGCAGTATTCACTAATTATCACCAGTACTTCACCAAATACCACGTGGTGATTTCTGTCATGACACACTGTTCCTCTGGAAGAGCAGCAAGGGGTCGTAACCAGTGTGCCATGTCCCTAACTCTAAGATCTCACCAGTTTCAACAGATATTTTTATGTGTGTTTTTAGTTCTCTGCAATATTCACTAATTATCACCAATACTTCACCAAATCTCATGTGATGATTTCTGTCATCACTTCAGGCAAGCCACAGAACAGTTTTATCTCCACAAGGATTCCTTGGGTTGCTCTCTCCTTGACCCCTGGCAACCAGTGACCTGTTTCCCTTGCCTCTTATCTCTTCATTTCAAGAATCCTATGTAGCACACAGACTGTAAACTTGATTTGCTTCCTCCTCCCCTTGGCATAATTCCTTGGAGATTCATGAAGGGAATGTATCTTTGATAATTTATTTCTTTTTCTTGCTGTCTAATATTCTGTCCATAGATGTATGTTTAACCACCTATCAAAGAAACGCTGATGGTTTTTTTTTTTCTTAAATTTCTGCCCTATTATAAGTTCCCATGTAAAAGTTTTCTAAGAGTTTAAATTTCCACTTCTGGAATAATTGCTTAGGAATACAATAGCTGCCGGGTGTTCTGGTGCCTGCCTTTAATCCCAGCACTTGAGAGGCAGAGGCAGGCCAAGATCTCTGTGAGTTCAAGGCCAGCCTGCTCTGCATAGTGAGTTCCTGGACAGCTGGGGCTACAGGGAGGCCCTGTCTAAAAAAAAAAATGCAATTGCTGTATTGTAAAGTAGTTGCAAGTTTCGATTTCAAAGTAACTCTTTTCTACAGTGACTATCATTTTACATTCCTATTAGGAGGGAGTGAATGTTCCATGTCTTTTGTCAACTTTTGGCATTGTCACTAGTTTTTTTCTTTCTCTTAGCTGTTCTATATGTATGTAGTGATATCTCTCATAGTTTTAATTTGCAATTTCATGATGGCTAATGAAGCTCATTTGCCACTGCTAGATCCTTTAAAATGTATTATTTGAGAAATTCATACATGTATGCAATGAAATATTCTATTCACTCCTACTCCCCACCCCCTTCAAGTTCCCCAGGTCCACCCCAACATATCCCCTCCCAACTTCATGTCCTCTTTTTGGTCTTGAGGATCCAGTAAGTACGATACTGCCCCCCATAGGTGCATGGACGTGGCACCACCCACTGGACCATGAGCAACCTGCCAAGCCATTGCTAGATCTCAGGTGAAATGTCTGCCATGCCCTTTGTCCATTTTCTAGTTGGAATATTTTAAATTGTTGGGTACTCAATGTTCTTTGTATATTTTGAATACTAGTCTTTTGTTGGTGTATGGCTTGAAACTATATACTTGCAGTATAGAGCTTGCCTTTGCAACCTCTTCACAGGAAGTTTTGCAGAACAAAAACTTTCATTTGGGTGCGGTTCAGTTTATTAATATTTTTTCCACTGGCCTATGCATCTGTTGTCAAGTTGTCTTATATACTTCTGTGTAGTAGCCATTAATTTTCTACAAGCATTGATTTACTCTCTCAGTAGCCCCAGAGTTCAAATATGTTCTGTAACAAGTGTCTTTGAACTTAATACTATGTGAACTTAATAGTATGCTCTTACCATATTAAAATGACTACCATCCTTAGTGCCTTAAAATATAGTGTCTACTTTTTAAGTTGTCAAGTGCAACTTTAAAAAAAATCTGTATTATAGAATCAAAAAGACATATGATGTACTAAGGAGGATTTTGGTTTCACTTTCTAAATTAAAAATCATTTGTCAAAACTAGAGTTTTCAGCAAAGATTTTGTTGTTTTTGTTGTTAAGTTATTCAGAGAACAGATTTCTGTTCTCATTTAAGCACAGTTTGAACATTTGTTTCTGTATTTTGAGTTTGACATTAAGAATCATGACTATATACTTAGTAGGCTTTTTTGACTCAGTATCATCAGAATAATGAATAAAACACTGTCGAGTTTGATGGCCTAGATGACATATTTTCCTTTTATAATAGATACTTAATATTCATTTTAGCTGGTTTGTGTGTGTGTGTGTGTGTGTGTGTGTGTGTGTGTGTGTGTGTGGTGCTGGGGGTGGAATGCAGGGCATTACACATACTAGGCAAGTACTCTATCACTGAGCTAACATCCCCAACTCTTAACTATTTTTACTATGGCTATTACTTTTTGGTGATGGTTATTACCTCATATTTTACAGATGCATGTGCCTATATTATAGGAAGAACTTACAGGAAAAGACTAGTAATTAATTTCAAGAATGTCCATTTCTTTGTGGCAGTGCTTAAAGATCACTTGTCCCTTTGCAGCTTCCATATTTGCTCTAGCAAGTGTATATTTAGGGTAGTAGAGTCCTACTAGAAAAAAAGAACAAACTGGCATAAGTCAAGGGCCAGAAAAACACTCCCTGTGGCCAAATCCTGTCCACCACCTGTTTCTGTAAATAAACTTCGATTGGAACACAGCCACGGCCTTCCATTTATGTATTGTCTGGCTGTATTCACAACACAATGTCTGAATTGAAGCAGAGATCTTATGGCCTACTAAGTAAGTTATTATTAAGTCTGTTGACTCTTTGGACCTCTAGAAAAAAAAATTGATGAACTCACAGATGAGGCTGTCTTAAAAATGAGTATCTTTCCATTTTGTAAAGGAATTTGTATGGCCTTTGCCTTTACTTTTTGTATCTTTTGTTCCCATGGGGTATCCTGATTCAGAAGAGTGCATTTATTTTCTTCAGTGTGCCCAGCAGCAGAGTGAAGGCATGTGTAGAGAACCGAGAAGGCTATTTTTGTTGTTGAAATATGGATTATTTCAGTGTGAATATTAATTTTCAGATTCAGTGGCTAGTAAGACTCAAAGAGGCCTATGCAATCATGTTATTGTGGGCCAGATTGGGAATGAATGAGCCTGGTGTGACTGTGGGGCTTGAAACTGCTGTGCAGTCTTTAAACACATACTAGTATGAGGTTACCTAGTTGACTCTAGACTGCTGTGCATTATGTTGTTTGTACAGCT